ACCTTACCATTCATTTGGGCCAAGCTTAAAATACTGAAAGGCGAATGAATTCTGGATCAAAACGGATTTGGAAACACGCAACACGCAAACAATCATTTAAACCCACCATACACTACAAAAAATAACCGAGGCCCTTAAAAAAATGGTGTGAAATTGAATTTATCAAAACTGGCCTGAGATTTGTGGGAACTGCTCCATGTAATGAAATAAGGAAGGAAAGGAATTTAGCGCATCGTGATTGGAATGAATCGAAAGTTGTGAATGATTTAATAGCCTTAAGGTCCAATCAGCTGTGTAAACCAAAAATACAAGCTATGCCATGAGCAATATTAATCCTAAATATCTTTTTTAAATATTTTAGAAAAATACAAATCCCTAAAGATCTATAACGTAACACTTCCAATTCGCAAGACCTTGTCCCTTTCTCTTTAACAGAATCTTTAGCGAACGATGTAAAGGGTTACCCTCAATCTTTAGAGGTGGGGCGGCGAAGGGGGGTGGGGAGGTGTTCTGTCTATGTCCATTTGTTCATTTCTATGCAAACTTTATCAGTATTAGTTTAAAAGAAAGGACTGACATATATAAGTTAAAGTACTCGACAATCAATCCCACTAATGGAACAAAATTAAATGGGTTAGGCTGTTCATTTCTTTATTGCTTCCGCCCCTTCCCCCTCCCCCCTCTCCCCAGTTGCTATAAACGTGCTGGTTATCACTTTTTTCTTTTAGTATTTCGAAACTCGATTTTCCCTCACGAAATGGAAAGGTCTCTGCGAGTAAAGATGTTTGACTTTGATCCTTTTGGGAGGTTTTCATTTGCAGCAGGCAAATACACTGGTCATTCTGAGCAAGATGTCGCGCGAGTGCCAACGCTCAGTCGGTTTGCTCTTTGCTGTCTTTGTTGTCATCTTCGTTTCTCCAGCAAGTGATGTTATGTCGATACGGTTTCCTTTATATAGCCGTAAAATGGCTGAAAGGGGATTATTGACGTGAAATATCTATTTTATACTGATAACAACGCGGGTTAGAAGAAAATAAAGAGGGAGAGGAACGAGGGAGGGGCGCACTCAGAAGCAATAGAACAGTTTATCGGATCGCAAATAGAGGGTACATTTTAATTCTAGGACAACTGCAAATAAGAATATCTAGTATTTGAACGCGTCTTTATTTATTTCTTAACAGCTCTTGGTTTCAAGGCCGGAAAGAAAATTAGTTACTACTACCACACCAGGTCTGTTCATTTGCAAGAAATCTCCTTTCAGTATCATTTCTATGGCTGACAGAAAGTAAAGGTCTTTGCCTCCGTTGGCCATACTGAGAGGAGCCAAAATCCTCGTAATGGTGGCGCGATCTGGGTTGACAATGTTATTGAAAGTGGATTCACAGTTTGCGTTGTGGAGTTTGGAGACAGCTCGAACAGTACTAAGGAAGTAGACTGGATTGCTGTTTAATCCATAGCCTCACAGAACCCCATTTAATTTATTCATACATTTACTTAGTTTAAAATTTCTTCTTCTTATTATTATTATTATTATTATTATCATTATTTTATCGTCATTATTATTACTATTATCGTTTGTCGTGATGTTTCCTACAAATGTTTAAATATGGTTTGATTTATTCCTTTTGAACTTCTCACCCTTAAGTCTGTCGGCAAGGCCTTAAAATGTGCAACGCATCCTCTTATGTTTCAGCGTTTTTCATCTCCTCCAACCATTTTCGTGACTGTCGCTCATGGTGTTACTAACCGAACTCAGGATGTCATGGCCTTGTGGGTCGAGGACTTGAAAGCAGAAAGCTTTAAGATTTGTTTGAGAGAAGCCAAGATCTTCGATGGTCCAAACAAAAACTTAAAAATAGTAGGCAACCCCGAGTTTTATAAGGGCTGTTCATGGAATATTTTTGAGCAGTATACAACTTGCCATCTCCGCAGCATATTTACGCCTTCTGTCAAGTAAGTCATATTTATCCGGATCGAATGAAAGCTCAGATTTGTGTCAAAACGTTTAACAGCGATTCCAACAATAAGGACGTCATCACCGTTGACTACATGGTGACTGGAGGTGAGCAGAAAGTGTCATGGTTATTTTCATGCTAATTTTCATGCTAATTTCAAGAAGACTAAGTTTTCACTGTTTTGAAAAACGAGGTATTTGCACAAGTTTTAGCTACTGCACGTCAATCAAATTATAACTCTGTGGAGCGTAGCTGTAATTCTTAACTTAAGGCTAACATCTTATTCTCTGATCGTTTTTTCCTTCCGACTTGATACCTAATGGCAATGCCGTTAGGATGCTGGTTACAAAACGCAGTTAGCTACAAACAGGGCTCAGGTAAATTCATTGACATAGTTAAAATCATGTTTAAAATACTTAAGTCAAACGCTGAATACAACATTTGGATACCTTTTTCCAAAACACTTATACTCTCTTAGTACTTGAACAAGTGAGATGGGAGTTGCAAATATAGGTTGCCATTATTACTGTTTGTGCAAAGCTTTCGGGCCTCATGATGTTAGATGCGTCTCTGTGGAGAGTTCTCGTTCATACCAAGAACCTTTCTGCTCATCAAACGGTTCAACATGTTGGCTTCAAGTAGAACACTTTAGGACAGCTTAAATACACTAAGCCGCTGGTCTCGTTGTCTGTTTTCTGCATTTTGAGATGCTGAGTTTGATAAAAGCACATGGCATTTTTTTTTTCATTTGTGTTTTCGAGCTTATTCGGTTTCTCCATGATCTAGGCACGAAAAACTTGTAAGTACATCGTATATCTATCTATTTTGTTTGTTAGTTTCTTTGTTCGCCGTATTATTTCCTAATTTCAGTGAATCGTTCGTTGGTTAATCGTTGGTTAGCTAGTTTATTTGTTCGTTCTAGTTCATTCGCTCGGCGTGATGGAAGTTTGTTTGCCAATTTACATGGAATAATAATACAGTTCAACGCATATCAAAATATTCAGTTGTCCTTGATCACGCAGTAGAGACACTGGCTCTCTACACAACATATGACAGTGTATGTCTGTTTCAACAGGAAATGTGTATTCTTCGACTTAACTACACTGTACAGCACCCTGGTAACTGTGAAGGTGAGTTATTTTGAATAAATACTTGCTTCCTAGAACTTTCTTTGTCAGAAAATCCGTCTCCAAACACCTGCAGAGAAAATAAGAGCGAAAGTGTCACTGTTATTGTCAGTGTCAGTGCTAATGGCACCATCGGTGTTCAAAGCAAATCTTGGTTTTCATGGTTATCATGCTGCTGGTTGTCATTTCGACTGGTGTCAGCAATAATGTCCGATTCTCGTTTTGGTGTCTGTGGTGCAGAAGCAGTTTTAGCGCCAGCAGAAGTGACATTGTCCTCTTGTTAACAACGCTTTCTGTTATAGGGGCGCTTTTGGAAACAATGGCCTTATCTTGTGATTTCAGTGAGTGATAGAGATGGTTGGGACAATAGCTTTAAATTAGACAAAAGTGAATTCAGATTACGCCAAGTATTTTTGAATTTATTTTTTCTAGGATTTCCTTTTTAGAGAGGTCGTCAACACATGCCGCAAATCCCCTCCCTTGGTTATTTCCATTGTGAAGTCATTTGCCTCAGGCCATTTGTGTTTTATCCTGACAAAGCCCTCGGAGTTCAGGTCACGGTTAATCATATTGAAACTAGTGACAAATCTTATGTATACGATGCCGTTGTGTCCTGGGTTGAAAATGTCAACTACGATAGATTTACTGCATGTATGATGGCGGCCGGTTACAACGAAAGACACGCAAATGCTAATGTGACAGTTGATTGGATGGTTTACCAAGGGACACCAGTGGGTGGAGTTGCTGATGAAGTGCGGTTATCGCAATGGTGGACTGGAACGACTTGTAAATCTGTCAGTTTTCTCTCGGTCGGTAAAATGAATTATCTTATTATAAATGTTCTAAAAACGAAGAGAAGTTTCTCCGAAAAACTGGAGCCGTGCTCAGCTCGCAGTTACGACCTTGCATGATTCATTCATTCATTATATATACCTAAAGAGATGAAGTCGTTTAACTTAAGTGTTTCAGAAGCCACAGATGTTTTCACACACAAATGGTATTAACTACAATAGTGTCGGCCTCATACCAAAATCTTCAAAAGAAAATGGCTGGCAAAAAAATTTCTCAGGCAAATTTCACCGTCACGAAAGACTCACGCGTTTGTTATCAACATTTCGAACGACATTATTACGAACGGGATCTTAGGTCCGAGATGCTTCGAACACCCGGGAAGTACAAGTTGGAGGAGGATGTTGTCCCAAAAATCCCGGGCTATTTATGGTGAAACACTCGATCGACCTTAGTGTCAGTTATCAGGGGAATCAAATTCGCCAATAAAATATAAACAATTCTCCATAACTTGTTGCAGGAATATCTGTATCTTGTGTTTCAGTATGGATCTGCGTGTGAAGAGATAGCATTACCTTTTTGCCAGTTTTCTTCCTTCTGAAAGCCCTTCAACTCTGGACAACTTCAAATAACCAGAAGCGAAAGAAAATAAATACCAAGAATTTATCTTATTCCTCTAAGGCTACCTAGAAGTAAATGATAATAAAATGACGATTTTACGCTTCAGTTTCTGTTCCTCTGAGAATTGCTACAAGGTAGCACTGTTGTTGCTTTTGTTGGTATTTTAACATGTAAAATTAAGACCACAAGAATATAAAACGTAAAGAGGGTTGATTGCTCATTTATTGACAACAAAAGGCTTACACCGATATTATTCGAAGTTTCTCTCTGTTATACCGCGAAAAGATTCGATCGAGATATTACACGCTCCTCATTAAAATGTTATTAATTATGTGCTTTTGAATGAAGTTTTGGACATACGACAAATTGAGAAAGCTTTTTGAATGGATTAAGTTCCATTTCTCAACCGCCACCCTCAGGGGAAAAATTCTGAAACAATAACACGAGTAAAAACGAAACTGCCGAGAGAAAACACTATGAATAGTTTGTTTTTGTTTTTGTTTTTATTTGTTTCTTGGTTTGTTATTGATTAATTCTTGCCTCTATTGACAGTAATGATATCTTGATTACCATTATTGGTCTCCATAATGTTTTTTTCCTCTCGGTGGTGGGTTATGTTTCTTTCCTCTCATGGTGGGTTATGATGTTTCATTATTCTGTAAACTGATGTCTTGGATGTAGACCTTCTTAACATTAGTGTATCCAATGCCCTTTTCTTTCCACAAGGAGAAGACCTTAAATCATGATTACTTGAGATGTTCTTTTCTTACTTTTCGTATCAATACAAAGCTGTCAGAGCCTTCTTAAGCTGGTTATCTATACCTGCTCTAAAATTTTCTTATCGAAATTAATTCAAGATATACACAAATCTGAGCTAAGGAACAACACTACTAGGACTACTCAGATTTCATATATTTCAATGCCACTTTCATGGTTATTGCGAGGCTGGACATTCATTTTTCTTGGCAATCCACGCTGATACTTTCATTTACTTGCGAAGCTCGCTTAACGCCTGTTACTTCATCTGCAGTTGGGTTGACAGCGTTGATCCTTCTTTTGAAGCGAGATCTAATCTGCATGAATAAGTTGATATCAAAACGATCTCAAGAACTGTACAACTCTATGTGCTTCGCATTTATACAGTCATCGAATTTAACTTCTTATTTCAAAGTGGAAGCCTTGTCAGGTAAAAATCTGAGCAAAAAATTAAAAGCTTATAAAGAGTATTCAAAATAAAATTTAATAACATACCTCTGAGTTTCTCACACAGTGAAGGAGGAATATTATGAAGCCCTGTTAAATGGCAATTTCAGAAATCACATTAACGCCTTTAGTAGATTCAAAGTGCTTCCATACAAGCTCCCCTAACCCTAAACCTCTTAGTATTAAATATTGCTGGGCAGCAAAAATGTCCAAACCTATACTGCTATTAATCACAGGTTCTCTACTTTGTCTCTGTATTACACTAAGTTTACCGCCTGGTAAACTTGTAAGGAAGGGTTAGTACAACTTCTTGCTTGAATATCGAGAGGAATACAATTAGATGAAGAAAACTTTTGTCATCTCAGGTATTCGATTGTGAGGCCTTTAATGTCATGTCCTAAATCGACTTAGTCTCAATAAGCAAAATTGTGATCATTGATGCAAAATAGATATATGTTTTGTTATATTAAGGTTTGGTTTTTACTCCGGAAAACTCAGTTTCACTTTTTTTATGTAATTGTAAAGAGGGTCTTTATTTTTATGAACAAATCTTAGAATCATGACCTGATTCCCTTTTTTGTGTCTTTTTCAACCCTTTAATTCCCATGAGTGACCAAACAGAAATGCTTACAATATCAATACAAAATCAGGAAGACCAGTGATGAGAACCAAGAAAGGGTCTTTATTTTTATGAACAAATCTTAGAATCATGACCTAATTCCCTTTTTTGTGTCTTTTTCAACCCTTTAATTCCCATGAGTGACCAAACAGAAATGCTTACAATATCAATACAAAATCAGGAAGACGAGTGATGAGAACCAAGAAAAGTATCAATAAGGGGATTAAAAGCTGATCTTATACCAAATTCTCGGAAGTAAAATCAGAAGAATTGTAGAGGAGACAGTAAGGAGAATTACTAATAATATCTTGGGAGTTAAAGGGTTCAACACTGTTTACTAAAGAACGCTGTAACTGTTAAAAGTTCATCAGCCACGTAGCGTGTGTTTTCCAAGTATGTCTTTATGGGATAATTCGAAAGTTGTTTTTATGTCAGGAGAGACAAATTCTTAGTAGACATGGGCTGAGTGAACTTGTACCCTGAAATGAGGTGCACTTTCAGCACCGACTTTTACCTTTGTCAAGATTCATTCTTAAATCAGTGGTGAATCCACCAACCGCCCGTTCACCTTCATACTGTATGAGCACGGATTTCATTCACTAAAAGGTGTATTTAGTTTACCTGAGTGGAGTTGAACATTATGAAAATGTAGGCAAACGCTTTGTGCAGGGGCGACAGAAGACCAAATAGCCACGTGATCCCAAGCAAAGGAATCATCAACACGCATGCCCTGACACCAAGTCTATAAAATCATGAAAAAAAGAGAAAATCAACTTGTTGTGAATTGGCATTATTCGTATAAGATAGCAAAGTAAGAGGCTAAGGGCTTAGATGCATCTTCTACTGACGCCACAAAAATACTTACCTTATTTGTTCACTGATTTTGTCTTTTGCATGCTGCATGTTTGTCATCTCCTTGATAACTCGCACCAGTATCAATGTGTTTAACTGAGAACAGAAGAAAACGAGACAAAACAAAAAACAATCTAACTATACAAAGGAAAGAGAAGTTTGCACTTGAGCTAAGTTCTCCTAGTGGCCTCATTGGATGTTCGTCAAAAGTTGAACCCTTCCCCTCCTCGTCATCCCATCAGACATTTCCCAGGTTTTCTTGACCATTGGTTGGTAAATATCCATAAAGCTGGGAGGAGAGGGAGAGAAGCATTGTGAACGCAAACTGTTTCGCCTAACAACACAAAACAACAACCCGGGAGAGACTCGAGCCAGGACTACTCAACCTGAAAATCTTTCGCGGTAACCGCAGACGGGATCTTCCTACAATAAGGTCACTTCAAGCAAAATTTATATTTCATACATATTTCAGATTTCGTTGGCAACTATTGATTAGAGTCTAGATTAAAAAAGCGGCGAGCGAAAAAAATGCTCACGATGCAACGATAACCGAAGGCAAAGTGTGAAAGAGGGAAACGAAAAAATTTTAAGAATTTAACCTACCAACTCGATCAGTAGAACGAATACAACAAATATCCAGATCATGCCGTTAGAGGATGACATCCAGCAGCTGAATAAAAAATTAAGTATCCGAAACTTTGATAAATTATCAATTAATTAATAATTTTTTTGCACATGCATGTACGCAGTACCCTCCATATCGGGTTTGATGACTAGTAATAAAAAGCAATAAAGAAATAACAAAACAACAACAACAGCAGCCACAAACCAATCAATTAAACCAAAAAAAAACCAAGAAACAAGCAAAAAAAGTACAACATAAAACGAGGATTCGTGACAGGGAAATCACACGAGGAAAAATCATTCACTTCTTACAAATTTTCACTGATATAGCTTTTAATCCCTGGCCCGGTTCCTGCTGCAATGCCCAGCGATATGGAAACAACGACGGCGGGTAGACCTGTGGATTCGAAATTCGAAGAGACAACAGAGTCAAATGATGATGATATCTAAGATGATAATGGCGATGGTAATGTTCATGGTAATTAATGTCTTACTTTTCAAAAGATTATCAAATAGAGAATGGGTTTTTAATTCATAGTTACCCCATGAAAATCCATGTGAAACCTTCATTTTGTCGTTGATATTGTAAACTTTTACAACAAACAGGTAGAGATAAACTCCCTCGATCAACATCCAGCAGAAAGCGGCCATTAGGAAATATTGCACAAACGCTGCTACTGTAACACAGGCAGACTGCACAGGAATGAAAAAGTTGAGTTAAGATTTGGATTAAGGTCATAAAGATGTAATGAAAGAGATTATTCTCTTCTTACCTTGTTCTCAACAGCACCACTTCCAGTTAGGAAGATAATTTGACCTGCACCAAGTGAAGCGACTAGACTCACTCGAATCTGAGATAAAGGTCCCCTCATGTCTCTAATCAAAAATAAACAACTGATTTTATTCTACATCAGTTCTATTCTCATTTTATACAAAGTCTGATTATATTTTTATGATTCTACTTGGCTGCTTAAATAAATCTAAACTTTACACATTTAAACTGATATAATCTCTTGTTGGTCTACATGCTCAGCTTGCTTTGGAATTCTTGGGTGGAACTATGTCATGTACTTACGTAAGAACAGCATAACTGATGATTGTTAAAGTGATTCCAACCAGAGAAAAAGACAAGCCCACATATGTAAGAATTTCCAGCGCTGTTTCGTCAGTCTTAAAAATGAATGCAAAAACAGTGATTCAATACCGATAACGGAAGAGGGCTACACACCATTTACCCCAATGCTGTCTAGTCTAAGTTCCTTCTGGAATCAATGTATGTATATGCTTATCAATATTCCTACCTTACTTAAAAAGTTACTGCTGGTTCCCCTGTCAAACTGCATAAGAACTGCAAAGTGAGTCAAATGATTGCAGCTGCACTCGGTATAAAATTCGTTCCTCGATGTTAGGAGACACCCTTGTCCTGACCAACTAGAATGACAGCAGAAAACTCTCAGAATCAGAAGGAAATAATGAAATTAGTTCATTAATACCAAATGTCTCGATAGATGGATGATCTTGAGATAAATAAGATACTGTTCGCAAGAAAAAGGAAGGAATCTACGTAACATATCGTGGTGTAATGGCACAGAAAGTTGAGATAATGAAAGTTGTCTGATGATCTAAAATTTTCTCTGATCTTTAGATTCCAAATGAACAAAAAAAAAACCAAAACAACTGCCAGCTTTATAGACCGCTGAGCACGCGGAAGCCTGAGAAGGATAAAAAAAGGAGTAAGAGGTGACCACACAATGTGATGTACCAGAAAATAGGACCTGAAAAAAAAGTTAGGCCCGCAAGGGATTTGAACCCATTACCTCTGCGACACCGGTGCAGCGCTCTACCAACAATTTTCAACTAACAGTTCAGTAGTGTTCTTAGCTGCGTTGATCTCTTAATTTCCGTTCTTGATCGCAGTGCAAATATATGAATTTCATATATCTAAAATCATCATTCATCACTTGGATGGTTTATTTGGACCCAACACATTGGCCAGCTCTCAGTTGGCTAGTTAGCTCAGTTGGTAGAGCGCTGCACCGGTATCGCAGAGGTCATGGGTTCAAATCCCATAGAGGCCTGAATTTTTTTTCAGGTCCTATATTCAACTACTAGTACAGTAGTGTTCGTAGCTGCTATGATCTCTTAATTTTATTCAAAGCTGTTTACCTGTTTTTTGAAGTATTCCAAAACACGCAGCTTCTGTTCGGTGCATCCTAAAACCGTAAAGTACCGTTATTATTACCTAGTACAGCGACTCGATGGCTGATGTGGAGGTGAGAGTGCTCTCGCCGGAATTTTTCAGAGCCCTCCTTATCACTTTAGATACATGTAAATATTGTTTACAAAGGACCTTGACTTGATACGATGATGATGTTATTAATAATAATAGCAATAGAAATGATAATAGTAATAGTGATGATGATAATATTTATAATAATAATAATAATAATAATAAGAAGAAGAAGAAGAAGAAGAAGAAGAAACAAATTAGATCAAATCAAAACAAAAGATAAAGTTACGAATTCAGATGCAACTCTTTCTTGATAAATTGTAACTTACCGCTAGGTTTCGAAATCTCAACGTAACATTCTTCCTGAGAGTGTGGTTCTTCGGCCATATCGTTGCAGACAGGATATTACTGTTGATAGACAAACGAGAAAAAAAAAAAAAAAAAAAAAAAAAAAAAGAAAAATAATTTAACCAACAAACAGACCGACAAAATAAACAAAGAAAATTTAATAAAAAGGCAGGAAAACAGAATCAAGACGAAAGAAACTAAAATAAACGAGAAACCCAAGTCGAGGTCGAGGAAACTTATGAACATGGCCTATAATGTAGGTTATTAGCACACCAAAGCAGATTTATTTGAGATGAAAGATACTAAATGTAATACTAAGTTTTAGCAAACCTGATTTTATTTACAGGAGCAGAGTCAGTCTGGCCTGTTTGGAATACCTCATGGAGATCTTTGTAAATGACACAAAGTACAACTGATCCTAAGATGTAATAATGAGAACAATTTTAATGCTACGAGAATATTGCGAAAAAAGGACAAGTTATCACGGTTTAAAGACCCTGCAAGTTTACCGGTGTGTTTCATTGGCATGCCCAACTTTGTAATAAGAATGAAATATTTCGACCAAAGGACACATAAACAGGTAAAAGAAAACGAAAGCAACTGGATTAAGATATCAGCCATTCGGTTTGAATGTTTGCTATAACTTTAAACCCAGCCCCCCTCTAACCAATAACAGTGATAATCGCTAGAATAATTTGAATAATACGACAAAAATATATTATTTTCTATGCTTAAAAAAAAAAAAAACAAACAAAGAAAAGATATAGCTCTCTAACCGTTATCCAAGCCTGTAACAGGGACACTGACATAGTTTTCTCCTTTATCATCCTCAAATTGTACTCCAGTCTCATTTTTGTGGAAAATCTTCCTGACCAAAATATCTAAATTCAAAACCGCGACTTATATTAAGTTAGGGCCGAAATAAATGCAGATGCTTTCGTAGCAGTCTCAAGTCATCGTCCTCAAAAGTTTTAAGACTAAAATGCTGGAAACCATCACTTAGAAATATATTAACTGCAAGTAGTTTGCAAGGATCATCAGTCAAAGGAGTGTTCTCTGTTCAATTGTCAGATAAAGTGCTGGTCACCATTTTTAAATTAAAAAAACATATCACTGCAGTGAATTCAAATGGTTTCTTATTTTTATTTCCATAATTTATTTATTCATTTTATCCATTTTTCCCCTCTTTTATGAGTTATTCATAACTATGACGATATTAAAGAACATATGCAAAATAGAAAGAGTTGTTGGAATCGCAGATAACTGACGAGCGATAGGAATTTCCTGTTATAAACTGCCTTAAAAGAGGTCCAAGACAGTTCATGTGTCGCGAAATGATTCGATAAAGGGTTGCTACAGACAAAGTTTACACCCAAAACGTCGAATAAGTAGTAGTGTTTGCAAATGTTTCGAAAATCTGCCACGAATGATGCATGTATTCATCCTGAACTCCGAATTAGAAATCAAGAAAACTTCCAAATCAGCTTTTAAGATCTACTCACCTGCATGTTTACCACGGATGTCAATCTTAGGTACGGTTTGATTAAGGCGATTTTGGGCATAATTCCCAATGAACTCCTCCAAATCAGTGACAGTGAGGAAAGTGCGTTCCATTTTTTCTTGAGTTACTTTATTTCCAGAAGAGCTGGTCACTTCTTTTAGAATGGTGTCAACAAGTTTCCTTCCTGGGGACTGAGTTAGTGGTTCGTTTAGACAAAACTTTCAGTAGCCTAGCTCTTAAAGGAATCAATAAATTCATGGGTTACACAATCTGAGGAAAATTGAGCTTTCATTAACCAAGGCACCAGCAGTAAACTTAAGAGGAGTTTAATTTTATGATGACTCGATCGAACTCTTCTATTTACAAGCTATTGCTAGTGGTTTCTTATTAAAGTGTTACGAAGATAATACGGAACACCTGAGTACAAGAATATAAATAATACAGGAAATACTGATAACTTAAGAAAGAAAGTGCTCGCGATTACATTTCGAGCTTTGCATGATCTGCGTGAAAGTCGAACTTATATCGATAACGACGCGGTCCGGGGTCAGGAGGGGGATAGGTTTGACATTCTCTAAAGGGTGGAATTAGAGGACCAACAACAATAGGCATTAAAAATGTTACAAGAAAATCAAATACACCTACCTCGCTTGATGGTGTTAGCTTGATGGCAGAAAAATTCAGTTTCCAGCACTGTTTCACTTTGATTCTGCCCAAATACGACGAGTCGGTTGTATTTGTCAATATCACAGAAAACTGCTTGCGAGTTTTTTCACTTTTTCTGCATCCCCACATTTTGAAACAGTGATCTTTCCAAGAAGACGCCTGACTGAAAAAATAAGTCAACTGCTCACACCAAGAGCTACAACAGACTTTGTCAATAGATGTAGGTGTCTCATTGCCACATTTCATTCTATGCCAGATTCGACGCATTTCTTGAACACTCTGCTGTAGTGTCCGATAGTCCGAACGGTTCAGCTCGGAGGGTGCGAGTGTATCATTGGGGTGGGAGCAGTGCCCATCTGCGTTATAAACGTAAACATAAATCAGAGACATTTTAAATCATTTAAATCTCCTTCATAAACATACTTTTTGTATTTTTTCTCAATTTATTTTTTTTTCTGTGAGTATATTATTTGCTTGACCCTTTTTTTTTTGCTTGATTTTCCATCCTTCTACTGCTCGAATAACGTTTCACTGCTCGTATTCAACCCCAGCTGCTTTTCCCACCCGGTAAGGAACGCATTGCAGTTTCGGTTTGCGTTTGCGTTTGTGTGGGTGTGGGTGTTTGTTTGTTTTGTATCAGTTTCCACTTCTCACTTCTCACTTTCCACTCTGAACGGAGTAGTGAGTGGTTGGTATCGAGAGTTTGTATAATATAATGAAAAAAAAAAAAATATATATATATATATATTTGGATGTTCAGAAGCCTTAGTATCTTTTTTCTGAATATTTTCTTAATTGTCAAGGATGGGTCCCGCTACTTAATATGTTACTTTCTAAGGTTTCTAAGCCAAAATCTCCCTTCGTTTGCTTTTCCCCCTCTTTTGGACAATTACGAGCAATAACATATCAGTGATCTTTTGGAATAGGTCGCTTGTTAAGATTTATTTAGCAACAGATAATTTATTGTTCAACCCATAACATATATATATATATATATATATATATATATATATATATATATATATATACTTTCTAAGGTTTCTAAGGCAGAGGTTAACTAGTTGAACAGTGTTGAATCTTTATAATTTTCTATTTCCTTGTTAAGGTTTTTTTTTTTTTCGCCAAGACAATACATACCTTGTGCTGAAGTTGGCATGGCCGTACCAGCTGTAATGGAGACAAAACCAAAAGATATAATTCCCCAATTCACAGCCATACCGCAACAAGAGGGGTGGGGAAGGAGGGGGTGGGGGGGGGGGGCTAGGGGAATCAATCGCAAGATAAATACTTATATAATAAGATATCTAATGGAAACGTGGGACTTCCTAGTCAACCATATAGGGGCAACTGCGGGTAAAATCGTTCGTATTACACTCAAAGCCTTGCAACCTTGCAAGGGTCGTGCTTAAAGGAAGGATTCGTAGAAGGAGAAGCGTCACGCATCCTTAGAACAAATCCGACACCCTCCACATGTAGCAATAACGTACAGAGTTTCAAAATGTGCTTAAAGAAGGGAATGGATACTTGACGAAGATGTGAAGATGTGTCACGCCTGCTAGAGAAAGTGCCATCAAAAAACAATGGCAATAGCACACAGAAAAAAGTATTGCTATTTATGACGCAATATCTTCCTACAAGAACATACTGATGGGAAAATGGCATCTTATTCAAAACCAACGCACTGAATCACATCGCAAAGGAAAGTCGTTAAAACATATCCTAGTCAGAGCTAATCTCAAAAATTTAAAACCGCATGCGAATAGCAGGAGTCCTGCAGGCCCATCAATACTTTTTAACTCGTCATTTGCTTCTTGTGATCTGCACCTTGCGCGAAGTTTGTCGACGCTCTGATGCAGCAAAATCTCTGCAAGTTGGCTCTTAGTTGAACCTTTTTGCCGAAACTTCCTGTCATTTCACAGGTTGAAGGTGGCTTTCAGAGCAAAAGTCCTTTTCGTTCGCACAGTAGCTTTAAGCCTTTTATGTGAAGGAACGCGGGATGCCATCGACAGTTCCAGATACAAAAAAATTCCTTAAGGAAATTGCGAGAAACCACTAAAATGACTGCCTAGAAAAAACAAATCTTTATTTCAGAAGACATGAAGCGCATGAAGCCATCGTCCACGTCTATACGTATGTTGCCAAAGCATAGAACAGATAATCGGTGCTTGACGGAACTATACACGCGAATATTTCAACCAAAATAGTTCCAAACTGATTCTGGTCGTGTTTTTCTTGCTTGAAATCACATTTAAAAAAATTAGAGATTTTAAAGTTTAAATCCGCCATATTTGTTATGATGTAGTTATGACGTAGCAATGGTCAAGGTTGGTAATCTCGACTAAGAAAGAAAAAAAACTAAGAAAACAGCAGCGAGGAGAGCGATAATGACTCAATTCTCGACATGGATCTTATTCCAGACGTTGTATTACGTCCAATCATGTTTTAGCCCTAACATAGCTCGTGTTCAGAAGAAGAAGAAATCGCCATTGACGAAGCAACTCAGTAAAAAATAAAAGGAGAAACATCTACGAGCTCACGTCTTGGAAATTGCGAATGGTGCTCTTGCTCTTGATGATCAACTCGATCTGGAATCGAAGATAACTAATTCCTCTCAAATAAAATACTTGTCTCTAAAGTGACATTTTTTTTTAGTTTTTACTAAAAAACGGCGCAGCGCCGGCGACGGATTTATTTCACATCGCTAATTCTGTGATGTAAATTATTATTGAAACTGTAGGAACCAGGTTTCGTTGTATTACTGAGCACGGATCATTTGGACCCGTGTGTTTACTGGCCAATGTTTTCAAAACAGCCCTTGTTGGCTTTCACCAAGTGAGAAATGAGAGACTTGAAGATTATCCGTCAAATGAGTAAGCAACGACAGAATAAACTTTTTTTTTTCTCACAAAACTCATGCATACAAAACGCTTAAGTTGTTTGCAAGTTAACCTGATACAAACCGAAAAAGAAAGACAACGGCAGTTTATTGTCAGCTATTTTATTAAAAGTGTTGTTGTAATCTTTTGAAGGGCCAAATTCACCGTAATATTTAACTGCAAATAGACCTTTAAGAAAATTACCATAAAAGCTACTTTGGGAAAATAAATATAGGATATCTGCCGTTCTAGGTTTGTTTCATATATATAAACAAAGCCTCATGTTACATGAAGAGCGTCAGGAAGTCTCCCGTTGTCGAACATTGTTGGCTTATGATATCGATCTTAATATAAATGACGCCTAAGTGCTTGGCGAAGTAGAATTTGTTTGTTTTAACTGCATTTGTCTGAGTTCCGTTCCGAACTGGACAAAACGAATTCGAATTCCTGAGGAAAAGTTCTTTCAACAAAAAAAAATTTTCTAGACCGCACTTTCTCTTTAAAAAGCTCTTAAGAGAGCTTTAAAGAGCTCCGTCGAGAAAAAAAGCGCAATTGATTGTACAACATGCAACCAAAAGCCTTCTTAACACATCGAGTTTTTTTAAAGTTTACATATTTAAAGGTTACTATATTACTTTTTAATACTCACCAACCGCTAGTGCGAGAAAAACCATTCTCCAGAACAATTTAGCTACAGTTTTCTTTCGAAGTTTAGGATATGAATTCGGCATTTTTAGGATCACCGTCTCGTGAAACAATGATGAAGGTATTGGTCTGTGTCCAGTGACGTTGGGCAGACGTTAGACACAGAGATACGTTAGATCTTGAGCGAACAAGGAAGAAAGCAGAGACCAAACTAGGCGTGAGTTTCTAAACACATTATTCCTTGGGTTTGTTGGCACTAAATTGACCAGCTGGGTCCTTATTTTCTTTATAAATTCAGACAATATTAATACCAAGACATGACTAGAATTATATCTCGTATACGAAAGTGTCACGGAAACCACTAAGAAGTGGCAGGTGGCAACTGCTATTGTCTTAATTTGAAATAGCGGATGACAAGACAAAGAGTCGCAGCACTGTTTTTTTCCCGGTATTTTTTAAAATTGTAATTCACCCATAGGTTTGTATTATTGACATCGCAACTGAGAGACGTGTAATGAATGATCATTAAAACAAAACAAAGAGTGTTCAACTCATTAGGTGTCTTCATTGGAAACTGGGCCGAATTTCCTAGTTTGCATGACGAACTGAAACGAGGTTGAGAAAGTTTTATCTGTTTAAAGAGGAAATTTTCAACTTAATGATTCATTATGTCTACCAGGGGAAATTTTCGTGTTAAGCCTCCATCTAATTACAATATTTTCCCTTTTTTGGCATCCCTAAATGAAAGACGAAAAAACTGAAACAAATACACCTTTAAGAATTATACCTCCTCTGCTATCTAAGTGGTGTTTTACGAATATAGACTTTCTCGAGAGACTAAAACTTAGCTAAGCTGACAGCGGATAGCAATTGAAGAATGTAAAACAAGGATTTTAAACATTACTCTATTGGTATCAAAGGGAAATATAACATCTCATTTTAATGCCGGCAAAACGAGAATTATTAGGTCAAGGAGACAGAGGAAAACGAGAAAACGAAAAATTAAGACGGACTTGAGGATGTGATAATCATCAAACGTCTGCGAGGCCTTC